AGATGAAGATGGTGTCTACCATGGCCAGTAAGTACCTCGCCACTCTCCCCCTTGGTCCCCTTCTCCCTCCTCCTACCGGTAGAGCTCCACCATAGCCAAGGTGGAAGCTCCCGGCTTCTTCCTCCCAGCAGCGCTGTAGTGCCCAGCGCTCCACCTAGCGCTCCAGCAGCGTGACGCCCAACCCTCACACTGAAGAATGAGGCTGGGCTCTCCGCCGTGCCTCTTGATATAGCGGCCTACTGGTCTCCTGGGCGGTGACTTCCAGGCCGCTCGGCCTCTCCAAGCAACCGGTACTTCCTCTGTTTCGGAGGGAAACATCATTGCAGATCCTGTTATTACCCGTACAGGCTCTAGACTCAGACTGGTTGGACTGGTACCGGCCTAGACCTACCCTACCGCTACTGGACGCTAAAAATGCCAACTTTGTCTTTTTCTGCTCGGCCTCCAGTACCCCCTCACGCCAACTGCAGTGGGGTGCAGTATCGGCCTACCGGCCTACTTGAGTGTTTTTCCGCTACCCCAAGGGCCGCGGGGCGGCTAGCTTCGCCACTTGAGTGTTTTTCCCTGCTACAACCCTCAATGCCACGGCCACAGGTAAGTACCGGCCCTATGGGCCTGCCAAACAAGCAAGTACCCTTGCAGGTCACACACACACTCATACCGACAAGCACTCAGACAGGCATGCAGGTCACAAGCACGCACACACAGACAGACTTAGAAAACACAGCAGAATGTGGGAATCTCAGTAAGGCATCCATTCCTTTGGCAGAACTTCAGAAATCAGCAGTGTTCTCAGTCTGTGTTTTGACGGGTCATTACAGAAGATTAGCATGGCCCCTGCACAAGGATGACACACATAAATTGCAGTGAACCTCCTAGTTCAACGCAAGGGAATGCACATATTCACACTTCATGCATATACGAGATCACACGGAGTTCACACTGAAGACCAGAGAGATTAAGACCAGATAACGCAACTTATGAATTCCAACAAGTTATACAAGAGCAATAAGAGTTCCGGGTCACCAGCGCACATCAGCGCATGTCATAGGTATCCAATCATCCAACATGATCACCCAGGTAAGTTTCGTCTTCCTCCCTGTTCTTCTCTCTTTTAGTTGTATCACCCCTCCTTGCTGGTCTTCTCCCTAGCTCCTGACCTTGCTGTATCTTCTCTCCCTACATGCATGCACACTCACACTGACTTCTACCCTCAAAGATCTACTCTGAATACACCCACTGTTAACTCTGCTAACTCTCTGAAGACTACTACAAAATACTAACACTTAACACCCTGCGCTGGCGCAGCTATGGCTGCCTTCTCTCTGCCAGTGTTGTCTTCCTCTCTCTCTCTCCCTCTTTGCGCAGCACTCTGGCTTCAGCGCTCTGCCCGTCACATTAGCGCACAAGTGCACCAGCACTTCCACACTCTTTGTGAATGAGCAATCTGACTGAATGTGAGGCTGGCCAGTCCTTTTGTAGTCTTGGTTTGCACTTCAACTCGTGCCAGCCTCTGTTTCTTGGGTCCTGACTGGTTCCGGTACCACATCCACACGGACTGCCTGCTTCTGAATGTCAAGGCCTGGAACCTTCCCGAATTTCCATTGGACTGCTGCTGCTTGGGCCTTTGAGTCATGACTTTTAAACTTGTGAACATGACTTTTGACTGTGGACAGTGGCTCCTGCCTGTGGGTCACGACTTTTGCCTGTGATACTACCTTTTTCTCGTGGGATGTGACTCTTCAATATGACTTTTCACTAGGAAACGTGACTCCTGCCTTTGAGACATGACCTCTGCTTGGTGAATCTGCCTTTTCACTCGTGGGATGTGACTCTTCTGAATGGCTTTTTAATAGTTTTTATTATGAGACCTGACTCTTGTCCCTGAGACGTGACTGTTTGCTGGGTGCCTGTTGGACCAGACTGCTGAGGTACCCGATTTTGACTTTTCTGAGGTTGACGAACTCGGCCTTTTCTCGACCTGGGCATCTGACCCTGAGATCCGAATTTGGGGTCTGAATCGTGGCAGGCCTTTCAAAATCGAGAAATGGTCCAAAAAAAAACAAAAAAAACGGCCTCGATAACCTAAATTATCAAATATCTCTTCAGCCCAACCCTGAACTTCCGAGCTGCCGTGAGGTCGGGTATAGTTGTTGCTGCAGGCTTAGCTGGTCAAACCAGCCAAACCGATCAGTGCCTTGTGTATACCGGCATGATCGTGGGACGGTGTGCAAGGTAGTGATGATTTAGCATCTGAAGATTCCGAACCCCTCAGACGTTTTGAAAACCTGTCTGCAACAGCTGGGTTTTCTCCTGTCCTAGGTTCCCTCCTTTCCTCTGAAACTCGTCAACAATTGGGTTTTCTCGCTCCTAGGTCTCTCTCGTCCTCTGGAACTCACTGTTCCTTTTCGAAATGATGAAGTATGTCTTCTGTAGTGATCCTTGCATGCTTTATGAACAATGAAGTCGGGCTCTACTCATTTGTCTCTTCCTCCCTCCATATTCCTGTCTCCCTCAAAGTGACTGCTTTTAGTGAATGATCCTCGTCTGCACCTTTTTGTTTTTCTTCTCACTATCAAAGATTCTCAAGCCACCAGTATGTCTAAGCCTCTTTTTCCAGACCTGGACTTGTGCTGCATGCCAGACTAAAAATGAACGGGCATGGTGTGAAATTTTGCCTTTTGACTGGCGCCGCCAGCCAGAGAGATTCCGGCAAGCCGAGCCCCCGAACTTTGCGGTGAACACTATGGCTGGATGGGGTACTGGTGGTTTAAACTTTAAAGGCGATTGCGTGCAATTGCCACTTACCAACTGCCCAATAAGTTATTGAGACCGAAAACGTTTGCAGACTCAGCTGCAGAAGTCCATTTGTGAGTGCAAGACCTTGGATAGGGACACAAACGTTGGCTGTAACTGTGAGCTTGACCAAGCTCCTCTCTCTTGCTCTTTATATTCCCTTCTTATCCCCTAAGACTATTTTTGCTGCTAGTAGATCAAGTTTGTTTGCACAACTTTTTGTCATGGAGAACACCCTCACCTCATTTCATAGCTGGCTCCTGTATCAGTCACTCATATGCAAGGAAGATGAGCAATAGCGAACTTCAGCAATCAAACAGCATCATACATATGAGTCCAGATAGTCTTGACCTCGAACCAACAGCAGAATTGCATCA